AAATCTCTCCTTGTTCAGTTTCCATCCATTATTCCTTGTCTGGCCTACAGGTGCTTTAGAAAATAGCTTGACCCCTGTGGCAGCCCCTCAAATATTGGAAGACTGCTATCATGTCTCCCCTGGTACCTTCTCTTTACTAGACTAGCCAAGCCCAGTTCCTGCACCAGTCGTTGTATGTTTTAGCCTCCAGTCCCCTAATCATCCTGGTTGCTCTTCTCTGTACTTTTTCTAGAGTCTCAACATCTTTTTTATAATGTGGTAAACAAAACTGGATGGAGTACTCTAGGTGTGGTCTTACTACGGATTTATAGAGTGGTATTAGTACTTCCCTTGATCTTGATTGTATCCCTCTCTTCATACAATTTAGGATTGCATTAGCTTTTTTGGCTGCTGGCTCATATTTAGCTGGTTGTCCACTAAGATTCCAAGATCCCCCTCACAGTTATTGCTATTGAGCCTGGTTTCACCCAGTCTATATGTGTACTTTTGTTTTTTGTTGCCTAAGTGTAGGACTTTACTTTTCTCTACATTGAATTTCATTTTGTTAGATATGGCCCAGTGTTCTAGTCTATCAAGATCCATCTGGATAACTTAAGAAGATAGGTCATTCTTTTTGGGTGTTAGCTATTCCTGCCAGCTTGGTATCATCTGCAAATTTGGTAAGTTCCCCTTCTATTCCCTCAGCTAAGTCATTAATGAAGATATTGAAGAGTACTGGGTCTAAGAGAGAACATTGTGGCACCACACTGCTGGTTTTTTTAATATTTTAAATTTTTATTGGTTTTTAAAACAAACATAAACAAACAAAACATAAAAACATCAAATCATCTTCCACATATGTACATACAGTGTGCCGGTGGGTTTACAAATTGTTTTGTGCTTCCATTTCATAGTCTTCAATTATAATTACGTTGTATATAATCTTGTATTTTCAATCAATATATTAAATACATTCATATCATTATTAATCAATCATTTGACTGTACTTTTATTCATTCATGTTTCCCAAAATGATCATATTTTACTTAATTTGCTTTATAACAATTCGTATCATCGTCCCTGATCTATCCTAGAATCATTTTGTAGATATAATTAGAAAAGAATACATCTTTATATATTTATTATTTTCTAAAAGTCTACATATTTCATTACTATATTTTATTGTCTAACCATTGATAGAATAGATCCCAAATTTTATAAAATTATTTATCATCTTGTTCTCTAATTTCAAATGTCAATCTACTCATTTCAGCACATTCCAATATTTTCTTAATGATTTCCTCCTGTGATGGTATTTTCTCATTTTTCCAGTTTTTAGCAAATACAATCCTAGCCGCTGTTAATACATTTACAATCAGGTATTTCAAGTCTTTACTATATATTTCAGGTAAAATTCCCAATAAAAATATTTCTGGTTTCAAATCTATATGCTTTTTTGTCATTTTTTCCAACCACGTATGGATTTTAGTCCAGTATTTTTTAGCATCCGCACAAGTTCACCACATATGGTACTGGCACCCTACTGCTTACTTCCCTCCATGTAGACTTAGACCCATTAAGGACTATTCTTTTAGTATGGTTTGCCATCCAGTTGCGAGTCCATCTAGTGGTGGTGCTATCTATTCCACATTTTTCTAGCTTACTAAGAAGTAGGTTATGGTCTACTTTGTCGAATGCCTTGCTGAAATCTAAATATATTATGTCCACAGTATTTTGCTGGTCTACTAATTTAGTCACTATGTTGAAGAATGAAATAAGATTGGTTTGGCATGATCTGTTCTTAACAAATCTGTGCTGACTGCTAGTTATTACTTTACTTGTTTCTAGATGTTGATTTCAGAATGCAGAGAACACTTTTTCTCTGACCTGTTGACCAATGAAAGAGTTCATTTTCATTCAAATACCATCTCATTCAAGCTATCAAAAAAAAATTCTTCTACGTTCTACACAAAATACAATTCAATAAGCTGATCACAACTCTTCCATGTTGTTTATATGTATACATATTTATATGCATATATACTCTTGAAAAAATACTTGTCTTACTGCTTTTAAAAATGTAAAGAAAAGCACTGAAATCTCCAATTTTCTGTTGCACTTAAAGCTCTAGGAGTTCTTAAAATTAAAATGATAGCATATAATCAATTTTGCACCCATGCATATTTCCCAACAGCATCTCTGTTATGTGTTGCAATGAAATATGGATTTGCAAGGCGGTAAAGAACAAGATTCTGAGGGCACATGAGTAATAACTAGTATAAGCCTAGAGGCAGGAATTCTCACCAATGGGGAAAAAAAGATCAGTTCTAAGAACTGCAGAATTGCAAAGCTTTTAAAGCATAGCTTTAAAATCTGCTGAATCTCTTTGGTCCTTATCTAATCCATCACTATCTTATCTGATTGGGAAAAACTAGACAATGATTAGAGAGAGCAGCAATGAGATACAGAATTCTACATTACCATCTACTGATTATCCAGCTTTCAAGTGCCTGAACTGGGATCTTTAAAGAAGAGCAGCATGAGTGATGCTTGCATATGCAAGCGTGTGCATGTTTTGATACAGTGAAGTGATGAAGGGCAACATACTTTAGGTGACTGAGGAACTTCAGGGAGTTTTGCAAGATGCAGGCCTGTGTTTAGCCCTCCTTTTTCTTTCTCTTGCCCATTTTTGACTTGCTTTGCCTTAGTACCTGAAGAACTCTACTGTCACACCATTTTCTTTTTATATATATGCAACTTATATATTATATAGAGTACATTCTGTTAAATTTTGTTTACTGAAAGGATTGCTTAGATACAAAGGACCTAAAAATCCCAAAATTCCTAACAACTGTGTCTGCCTCCATGAAGTAAATGTGAAATAGTTAAGACCAAGTTCAATATAGTCCTTAAGGCACCAGGTTAGAGACCAGGAGGCCATGTTTTCTAGGCTCACTTAAGGCACAAAACCAGCTGGGTGATCTTGAGCAGTCATTCTTTCTCATTCTTGGGAAGAAGGCAATGGCAAATCTCGTCTGAAATCTTGTGAAGAAAACTGCAAGGACTCTTTAGCAGTTGAATTGAAGTAGTATTGAGATTATTTAGCAGGAAAAGAAATCCTGGAAATTATTCTCAAGAATTTATGCCAGTAAATATGGATATATTGAAAACAAAAGGAGGACAGGAATAGATATTACCAGGTTTTCTGACCCTATCAGATGAATATGAATTCCTTTTGAAAACCTACTAATGTGACACTTGATTATTTACAGCAAAATCAGCTGCAGTAGAATTGCTGTAATCAATATCTACAATAACAGTCTCATAAATCAAAACGGCAGCAAATCATGGCTATGTGTTGTTAATGAAGAGAATGACATTTCTACAATATAGAATGTTAATGTAAAATCCATAACAAACTTACTTCACAAGTCACTATTACAGGAATAGAATCTGTGGATATATTTAATATACAAGAAAAGTGGGAAAGGCAACTTATCTTTACACTAAAATTTGTTACTGAAAACACTGCTAGCTGATTGTAGTTTTTGTTCAGTATTTTGTTCTTCATTATCACAATTAGTATTATGTATATTTAGAGAAAAAAATTAGAACATATTTGCCATAATCTTCAGTAGCCGAAGCATAGCAATAAAATCTGACAGGGTATAAGATTCTAATCAGGAAGATTATCTTGTCTGCCATTCACCCACTGATATGGATCACCAAATCCTATAGAAAGGGGTGGGATTCTTGGCCACTTTGCCAGACTTACAAACATAATACCAAATTCTCTTACTTGATTCCATCCAACCAGCTAAGTTGAAGTATAAGAAATTATCATGAAAGGAATGAAAGGAACTCTGCAAGATTTCATTTGGCTCAAACATTAATTTAGAATATTATTATCGAATTTATAAAAAATAAATATAAATAGGGTATCATTTTTGTCTATAAGAAAGCTGTTATATGCTTGCTGAAATTTGTGCATTTTATTTCAGAATAATTATTTTTTCTTTGTCTTTCAAAATTACAGTTATTTTTCTATGTGGAACTTTTTGATTAAAAGTTAAAATACTAGCATTTTAAAAAATAAAAACAAAAAAATGTTCTTTCTGTGTGTTTTTCCTTATATTCCTTCTTTAGTAGACATATGAAATTAGAATGATATGCAAGAAAATATTACATGCCAAAGAGCTTTCACATATGTTAGATATGGACACATAAAGAAATCATGTAATCAAAAGTATAAAATAATCAAAAATAGCCATTTATTATGAAAATTGAATCAAAAACCTCTCACTAGGGACTTGCAGCACCTTTATAACATCAACTCCTAATTATTAAAGCAACATAAAACCAGTTCTCATTACTGTCATATCAGCATAATGATGATTGGATAATGCTAAAAGTATAAATCACTGATGAAGAAATAATTAAGGACACCTATTTTCAGAATACTGAGAATATTTTCAGAAGATGTTTCAAAAATAGGATCCTTCCATAGAAGTATGATATGTGTCTATGTACATATATATGTATACACATACATTCTAAAACGAATAACTTGGGCCAATATAGATATATTTGTTTTAACTATGTACTTACCTACATCTTGTGAAACAGTTCTCAGCTTAAAAAGATTGCACAAACATAAATATGTGCAGTTAAATAAACTATGCTTACATATGCATGTCCTGTGAGAAAAAAAGGATATTAATACTGTATTATACACAAAGATACCTGGTGGTAAATCCCAGTGAACCCAATGTGAATTACACTTAAGTAGGTATCCATAAAAATGTATAGAAAAATTATACATTTTTATTGCACATTATGAAAGAGATAAAACAAACTTATCAACATATGCAAAACCGACACACTGGGAAAAGACTGATCCATCATGTCTGTTGTTACTGAATTTTGCATATGGAAAATGATATAACCTTCCTTTTTTTGGATCAAAAACTGTTAGCAGTTCCTATCTAATATATACAGACTGAATATATATAGAAGTTTTGAGATAGTAGTATTTGTCCATTAGGCAAACATAAATTAAAAATACAGGGGTTTATTTAATAAATGCATTAAATAAAACAATTTAATTCAAAATAAACATAATATTCTCACTTCTTCATCTTATCAAAAGTTTCATTTATTCTTTGTTTTTTTCATTTTGCTTACTTTCAATCCTGACGAGGTATATTGATGAACTCTGAAGCTTGCAAACTTCTTTAAATCTTTTCTTAGTGTGCAGATCTAGTTTCAGCCAAGAGTTTAAGAGGTCATGTTTTAATTTTTGCTCCAAAAAGAATAACTGACTTCAGCAGTGCCATCTCAGAAGCAACAGAAGAATCTCAGAAACAAATTCATTGATAATAGAGCTTTCAGATGAAAGTTAGATGGTGCAATTCTCTAATGGAATGCCATTATTCATTTCCTTTGGAGAATAGCTTTCAGCCTAGAATTAGTGTATGCAATGTTATTCATTGTACGTTTACCTCACCAGGGAACTATTTTCTCCTGTCTATATATTCTATTCTGCTAGAGAAAGATGTTTTATAACTCATTGGAGAGTTCTATTTTATTTTTGAATGTTGGCAGTCCTGCTTCTAAAATATCCATATAATCTAGAAAAAGAGACATTTTAATGCAAAAGCATATTTCAGCTTCCCAAATAACATTTCTCCTTTCCCTGCAGAAATTGTTTTTATTGATTCTGAATCTCAGGGAGCTTAGTATTCATAAAAAGAGGCCAAACAGCTACTTGAGATGACTAAAGACCTGTACTTAAGTACATAACATATTTAGGGCAGGCAGCACAAAGTAATAATTCCCAATACTGTCCATTCTCCAAATACGCCTCTTCTATCTTTTCTTTTATAGTCTGGTAAAAGACAAAATCCTCCAAACACTGTTTTGACAATGAATATGGTCTTCTTCAATAACTTCAATCATCCCTGGAAAAAATAAAAGGAAGATAGCCAGGGTTATGAATGTTTGTTTCTTATGAAAATAAAAACACCTGAACAATTATGTGTGCTGCAGTATACACAGAATTCTCATTCAGACAATCCTTTTATGCATTCAGGGTTAGACTCACATTGTCCCTAAAGGACTTTAATTAATCTTTTATGAAAAGCAAACTTCTGCAGTTCCCATCTCTTACAGAAGTAGATCTATCTAGATGGGTTACTGTAATATGAATATTTAGTTTTATGGGCCATCCAGAATCACCTTATGTGAGTTGGGTGGGCATATAAATTGTTTAATGAATAAAATGAATAAATAAAGTCAATACAACGTGGCTTGTTATGTGTATGAAATATTCTTCCATTTGTTGGATGTGCCCTAAATTCTTCAATGAAGCCATAGCCAAGATTTGTACTGTAGTAATTGTCCCAGAAAAGAACTTTCCTATACCACAAAATTTATAATCAAACTAGATAAGATGTAGATAACAAATCAACAGCACTTTCACGTAGCTTAGTGTTTACAGTCTTGACTGCCACTGAGATGACTCTTTCTTGACCCAAAGTAGCTCACAGAGTACTTGTGAGACATAACAGATGACGGAAATGTTATCTGTTCCACTTTCAATTGCAGAATTAAATGTGTGGTGCAAATATAAATCTGTAAAGAAATCTTTTAATTTAATTTAATTATTCATCTACTTATAAAATGTATACAGCTGCCCACCTTAAAGCAACCAATAATTACTAAAACAGCATAAAACAATACAAAACAGTATAAAATCAAAAACAATGCTACAAATAGAAAAAAATCCTTGCACTATAGCCACTCTTCTTTAATGCCCTCACTTTCTCTTGTATCCTGGTCTCACTCATTCTTTGGATATATAGATTTGTATAGCAGGAGAAAGGCCATTTTGATTGTTCTGACTGGGTTGATGGCAGTACTGAAATACTCAACTGCCCACATCATCTTTCCAGTGAGAAACATTTCCCCAACAAAATTATTTCTTTAGGGGCGAAACGTATCAATATTTTTAAGGCTGCATCTCCTCTAACTTAGTTCTTAAGCAGAATGGCCAGGAGTGATAGACAGGAAATCATCATCTGGGAACTGCAAATTATAACTTAGTCTCTTTCATAAAAACTTTCATATCAATTTTTATGATACACAAGTCAGTAAATGCTTTTATTGTCAATTTTTATGGCTTTTTTAATGCTTCATGATCCTGGACCAAAACAGATTTAATATTAAATTTGGTTTGTGTACAGAATGGAAATAAAAAAAATATAATAATTAATGCTCAGATATAGGTGAAAATAATGATGAATGCCAATCATTATTTTTCAGCCTAGCATACCTTGTTTATGAGTTCCAATGATAAAATGAGGTAGGGGATGAAGCAGAGCTCCTGGAAGGAAGGCTGGATATAAATCTAAAAATACATATCTGAACTGTCAACATTTCACAGATTAAGAAACAGTATTTAATAGTAAGCTTGTGCAGTTTCTTCAGCAAAATGAAGCACCCTTCTGGATCCACATCATAAAACTTCAAAGCAGCTGCATTGAGATTTTGGGTGCTTGCTCCGAGGCACTCCTGAGACTTGTGTGATAAGCAGAAGTCGCTTTCACTCTAGACAGCTATGGCAGAAATGTGTTCCCAATGCATACAGATATATGGATATACAAAAACCTAATCTTCAAAATAACCACACAAAACTTGAATGATAGATGTGAAGTTTTCTCCCAGTGGGACAAAGCTTTCACATTCATAAAACTCTATGTAATAGGAATTAAATGTAGGATTATTTCATCATACATTTAAGTAAACCATGGTTCACTGAATTAATTCAATTGCCTGAATTCACACATCATTTTTGACCTTAAATTAGTCAATTGGGTTCACAAAACAAGGTAGCCAGTTGAATTTTCATCCTAGGATGTTGTGTAGAACCACTCATAGTCACATAGAAATCAAATTATCTTTCATATTAACTAAATAAAGGAAAAGCATAGAAAAATAGTGTAGATTAAGTTAAAAATCCTTGAAGAAAATTAAATCGTTAACTGCTTACATACTGTTAGTATGAAGAACATATTAACAATACAACCTACACACACAGAATTTCCAAAAGAAAAAAATCTTATGTAAAAAATACAAGCTACTTTGCATGTTTATAATTCTATATGGCCTTCCAGTAAACACTTCCAAAACTATGCATAGGGACTTAGGTTAAAAGTATTTGAGTCTAAACTGACCATCTTTCTTCCCATACTTTTATCATTTTATTCTTTTAACCTCCATCTGACCTCTTCTGGTTGCTAATGGAAAATATCTCTGACTGAGTAATGAATGAGCCATAGATAGATATAAGATTTTCAGAACTCATTCATGAAGTGAATGAAACAAATAATCCTCATTTAATTCAATTTTCATTTGTTAGAAAGTGATGGCATATTCCTGATTACCATTAACCCATCACTTACTGAATTCAAGCTACAAACAGCTACTTCAAATATTCTTAATGCATATAACATCAGTGACTTCCCTTAGCCATAATTTATTTATTTATGTATTTATTTCTCATATGACTTATATCTCATGTAATGATTCTTGGCAGTTGAAGATCTGACAATCTGCACTGCAAGCTCTATTAAGTTTATACATAAACTTGCATATACATAACAAGTTTCTCTTGATAAACTTCCTTAATTCTTATAGCTCTTTCTACTCAGAGAAGTCAAGGATTTGGGCAATCACCTGAGACTGACAACTGGAGCAGATGCAAAAAGAAATCACATGACAAAGACCCTGATTCTGAATATCACCCAACCTGACATACTTCAAGAACTCCAAAGAGCTGAGCAGAAATTATCTTTTCAGTTCCCTGAGACCAAAGATGTGGGTTGCTTTAATTAAACTACTCCTGTTTCAAGTCTTTAGTAGAACTACTACTGTCAGCTGGACTGTTCACTGAAAACAACCACTATAACTTCCATGTCATGTGATTCAGTTGACATCCTTTCTGGTGATTTTGGCTTGCCAATCTTGAACTAGCTAAGTAACTTTATTGGTAACTTCAGAGGTTACTAATCCCCAGTCTGTGTACCGGTGCCAGGCCACGGCATGCCAGAAACCATGCAAACAAGCAAAACCCCATCCACGGGATGCAAAACCACTCCACCTCTGGTCCGTGGAAAAATGTCTCTCATGGAACCACCCCTCGTGCCCAAAATGTTGGGAGCCACTGCTCTACGAACTGCCTTGCAAGTCAATATACTGTTGCCTGCATCCAACAGTTAGGAGGTATAGACAGTATACTAATAATGTTAAGTGTGAATAATTAAAAATAACACACACACACACACAAATAGCCCTTTTGAAGAAATTTTCTATTATTTTAGTAAGTCATTCTCACAAAAGCTTTTTTTATCTTTTCTACTACATTTTAATCAACACATTTTTGCAACCATGATAATCCCTTCTTTCAACTGCACATCCAATTTAATGGATAATCCCTGCAAAAGGACTGTGTGGTGTATGTCTGGGTTTTTTTTTAATGAACCTATGTTTGTTTACTGTATATTGGACAGCTTTTTCTTTTGTGCTTAAGCATTCATTTATTTCTTTCAGTATTGCTTTGAAGTATTTACTTTGAATATTTGAAGCTATAATTCCTCTTCTAGTCATTCCAGTAGAGAGCAAAATGCTGCTCAATCTTTTAAGTGCTTAATTCTGAAGAATCTTCTGAAGATTGCGAGCAATCAAACAGTAATATAATAAAACCTAATTGCATATTTATTGCACAGTTACGGGCAGAAAAATTGATCCCATCAGAATTAGGAAGAATGTTTCATCCATCTGTTGAATCATTGAATTAGGCTGTATTTTTGTTAAATTAGAAATTCCAGAAACAATTACTTGATATTTCATTACATTTTATATATTTACTTTACTCTAATTCTCATGCTTGAGTATGAGAACTTGACCAAATTCTTATTTAACAGGGTTTTTTTTTTAAAAAATGGGGTGAATGATTACTTGAGTAATGTAATTATCATGATAAGTTTCTAAAAGTGATGCAGGATACTTACATATTGCTCAAATGAACAATTTTTATTAGTAGAAAACAAACAATTGTAATCAATTGTGTTAACGAGTATGGAATCATTCCATCAATAAAAGTTTATATTTCTTTAAGAAGCTTCAGGATTCACTATCAAGTTTATAATTATAAAAATGGGCATAGTGTTACAATACTGATGTGAAAATCTAATGGATTTTAACCTTTGTGCCATAGTTCCCTATCGTGTGTTATACTAGATGTGTTATTTAGAAAAGTCATTATCTCTTGACTGTGGCACTTGATGGTTGCAGCCTGATTTCTTCTTAATTTTTCCCTCTCTTTGCTTTTTGTAGTATGTTACGTTATAAGGAAAACTAAAGGTCTTAGATATTTGGCATAGTGTATACTGATTAGTCCCAATTAATATATTGCTAGATTGTAGATTTTAAAATCAGATTCAATAACTTGTTCTAAGATAGTGTTAAATCCTTAAAAATAATATATTCTAATAAAAATAAATTTCACACTATTGTAAAGTAAGCATGGTTTTCAAAATAGTTTGATCTTTATTATATGGTCAGAATCTTAAGATGGTATAGAAGCTACTTTTAATAAAATAATTATCTCTTCTATTTGCATGTATTTGTTTTGATGCCATTGTTTACTATGCTTTCTGAAAAGAGGTATGAATATATTCCTATTTAATATCACATTTCATGTATCTAATTAAATGGATATAACCTGTGAAAGTGTATGTTATAATAAATGTGTTAGCCTTAAAATTCCACAAAGCCCTGAAGGTATTTCCAGTGCCTGATGCCAAAACTACCATTCAAATAGCAGCTTTCAGATATTCCATCATTTTCTCCCTAATGTATTTTTCGGACAAGAAAAAAAACGTCAAAAAAGATTAAAAGTGGGTAATAAATAACTAAGAGTGATGGTTTCAAAATGGATTACACTCTGCTAAATATAGGGATGACCCCCTACAAACGATAACACAGCAAAGTGGTATCTCCACCTTTTTTCCCTGCTTTGCAGTATTTTCTAGCTTTTTTTTTCCCTTAACCATTTTCTTTAAAAAGTGTGGAAAATCAAGCAAGCAATCACAAATCTTTAGATCAGTATTGGCAGGGGTGGGATTCTCCCAGTTTGGACTGTTTCGGGTGAACCCCTAGCTGCAATTATCAGCTGGATACAAACCAGTTCAATCCGATGATTATGTGGGCCCGCCCGCCTGCCCCTGACTGTACTATATCTGCTCAGCTGATTCACATGGCGGATTGCCATGCTTCAGCTGTGTTACTTTCCTGAAGTAACGATGAAGGTGAGTAATTGCGATAGCACAGCATGCATTAGACGCATGCATGCATGAAGCGCATGATTAACAAACTTGTTGTTACACTGGAAGAATCCCTGAGTGTTGGCTAATCTTTTTGGCACCAAGTGGCACCAATGTGCGTATGTGGGGGGAGAGTCCCAGAAACTGGAAGAGCAGCTCCCTAGTGTGCACACATGGGAGCACCAGAAACTGGAAGAGCAGCTTCCTGGTGCACAGGCGCACTCCAGGAAGCTGAGCTTCCAGTTTCCGGCTCACATGCACGCATGAAGATCAGCTGGCTGGCATGCATGTGCGCACCAGAAACCAGAAGCTCAGCCTCTCAGCACGCACATGTGCGCTGGGGAGCTGCTATTCTGCTTTCCTATGCTCCCACACATGGAAAAACTAGCTGGCTGGTGCCCATGCATGTGCTGGAACCTGGAAGAGCAATGGGCGATTGCTGGCCTGCCCGGAGAAATGGCTCTGTGTGCCACTTCCAGCATGCGTGCCATAGGTTCGCCATCAGGGCTTTAGATGAAAGAAAAAGGAAAGCAGATATCCTAGTATATCATCAAGGCACCAGGTTGTGTGTCAGAAAGACTAATAGAGAAAATTCTGCTACAACCTTAGTAGTGAAGATGATTGGATAGGGAACTTGGTTTATAGGATCATATAAATACAGTTGTCAATATCTTTCATCTGCACAAAGTTCAATTTTATTTGTAAGATAGATAAATAAATAATATTATTTTTATCTCCTATATATATAATGTGTACAATGTGTATGTGTAATATCAACATTTATTAACAGCCCAATAATTCTCTTTTATATTCTTTTCTTTGACCCAAGTTAATTCTTCCTAAGCAGCCACGTGACAGGGATAATGTAGCACATAATCTGCTAAAGTATATGATCTTCCTTCATTCCATTTTAAGGGCTATGTAAATTTCATGATTTTTGTTTCTGCCCTAAGGCAATGTATTACTTCAGAACAGTTTCAACTGAAAAGTTTCGACTGAATCAAAAACTGCATGCTGAAATGCAAGTTACTTGAGAAATACACAGTTCTTTCAATAATGTCATTTGATTTTAAAATTATATAGTTGATCTTATTGAATTGTGCAGACCTACCCAAATATAAAATTATAGTGATGCAGTATGTAATTAAATCATATGTATAAAATACACAGTTCTTTCAATCATTCCATTTAATTTTAAAATTACAAGTGAAACTCAAAAAATTAGAATATCATATAAAAGTTCATTTATTTTAGTAATGCAACTTAAAAGGTAAAACTAATATATGAGATAGACTCATTACATGCAAAGAAAGATAGTTCAAGCCGTGATTTGTCATAATTGTGATGATTATGGCTTACAGCTCATGAAAACCCCAAATCCACAATCTCGGAAAATTAGAATATCACATGCAATAATAAAACAAGGATTGTACATAGAACAATATCGGACCTCTGAAAAGCATAAGCATGCATATGTACTCAGTACTTGGTTTGGGCCCCTTTTGCAGTAATTACTGCCTCAGTGCGGCGTGGCATGGAAGCTATCAGCCCGTGGCACTGCTGAGGCGTTATGGAAGACCAGGATGCTTCAATAGTGGCCTTCAGCTCTTCTGCATTGTTTGGTCTCGTGTCTCTCATCTTTCTCTTGGCAATTCCCCAAAGATTCTCTAGGGGTTCAGGTCAGATGAGTTTGCTGGCCAATCAAGCACAGTAATCCCACAGTGATTGAACCAGATTTTAATGCTTTTGGCAGTGTGGGCAGGTGCCAAGTCCTGCTGGAAATGAAGTCAGCATCGCTATAAAGCTCGTCTGCGGAAGGAAGCATGAAGTGCTCCAAAATCTCCTGATAGTCGGCTATGTTGACCCTGGACTTAATGAAGCACAGTGGACCAACACCAGCAGATGACATGGCTCCCCAAATCAACACAGACTGTGGAAACTTCACACTGGACTTCAAGCATCTTGCAGAGTGTGCCTCTCCATTCTTCCTCCAGACTCTGGGTCCTTGGTTTCCAAATGAGATGCAAAAGTTGCTCTCATCAGAAAAGAGGACTTTGGACCATTGAGCAACACACCAGTTCTGTTTTTCTTTAGCCCAGGTAAGAGGCTTCTGACGTTGTTTGTTGTTCAGGAATGGCTTGACAAGAGGAATACGACATTTGAAGCCCATGTCCAGGATCCGTCTCTGTGTGGTGGCTCTTGATGCACTGACTCCAGCCTCAGTCCACTCCTTGTGAAAGTCCCCAACACTTTTGAATGGCCTTTTCCTGACCATCTTCTCCAGGCTGTGGTCATCCCTGATGCTTATGCACCTTTTTCTTCCACACTTTTCCCTTCCACATAACTTTCTATTAATGTGCTTTAATACAGCACTTTGGGAACATCCAACTTCTTTTGCAATTACCTTTTGAGGCTTTCCCTTCTTATGCAGAGTGTCAATGATGGTTTTCTGCACAACTGTTAGGTCAGCAATCTTTCCCATGATTGTGCTTCCTACTGAACCAGATACAATTTTAAGGCTCAGGAACCCTTTGCAGGTGTTATGGCTTAATTAGCTGACTAGAGTGAGATATTTTGAGCCTAGAATATTGCACCTTTTCACAATATTCTAATTTTCTGAGATTGTGGATTTGGGGTTTTCATGAGCTGTAAGCCATAATCATCTCAACTATGACAAATCACAGCTTGAACTATCTTGCTTTGCATGAAATGAGTCTATCTCATATATTAGTTTCACCATAAATTAGTTTCACCTGAAATAAATGAACTTTTGCATGATAATTTTTCAAGTTTCACCTGTATATAGTTGATACCATTGAGCTACACAGACCTACACAAACATAAAATTGTAATAATGAATATTTTATAATTTATATATAACATAAATAACTACACACAGAATGTATACAAAAGAGATAATTAACATTAATTTTAGCTTAATTTGTAATGTACCAAGTTGTACACGCTTTAAAATTAAGGAAGAATTGCTTTTGATCAGAGAAAAGCATATTATTTCTCTACTCTTCATTAGAGTAATTTCTTCTTTTTCATGCTTCTTTATCATTCTGGTATATTTTTAAGTGTCATATTAATTAATTTGATTAATTGAGACCTGAAAGTATCTATAACCTATCCATGCTATCTCAGAATCTTAAAAAAAAGAGTAGTAGCGACTGGTTACATGCATTTTCTAAATAATTTTCAAAGTACAGTATATGACAGCTAGTGTGGTTTAATATTTAAATTGCTAGACTAGAAGTAAGGAATAAGAAGAAATAGTTTTAATGTTCATTTATTCATGGAGACTGACTAGGTATTTTTGCACCAGTCACTCTTAACCCTAGGCAGGAAGTAAAAACAAACAAACAACCTTATATCTACCAAATCACATTGGTCCACAACCTTCAGTTGTGTCTTCCTCCTACAGTGAATTTATTCATGCTGAATATACTGTACATGCATATATATGTGGACACAGTCTTTATATTAAGGGGGTTAATTTTTCAGCAAACTTATTTTAAATCAATATGTAAACTGATTAATAGTTTATCCATTCTGTATAGAGTCTGTATACTGTAAGAATTTTATAATTATCCTATAATTAAAATCCAATACATATTTTCTTTGGCAGAAAAGTCGGCAGGATTTAGATCTGTCATAGGTTCCTCTTAAACCCATTAATGATAGCCATTTATCCATTAACACTTGTAGCTAATATTCACAGTCTAACGCTTATAGTTATGTAACCCCAAGAAATGTTAGTTTTGCACCAATGCTTTATATAGACTTTTCGAAAAGAAGTGAGAATTAGTCAAAGAAGTTGTTGAGACTTGATCTTGGTAGGGACAGATAATTCCAGTGATTTGACTCAATAATGAGTCTGTCTGTCTATCTGTGGGTTGTTTTGTGTGTGTGAGAGAGAGAGAGAGTGAGTGAGTGTATGCATGCCCACGCATGTGCGTGTGTGCATGCACATGTGCACACTGTGTAGCACAAAGTACATAGAAGAAAATCATTAGTAGATAACCTCATCAGTTCTTACCACCCTTATTCAGAAAACAATTTCTAGCAGATTGGACTCTAAGGCCAAGTCTATTGTAGCTTCTTCTTGCCATAGGAGGATTATATCTCTATTTACTTAGTCCTAAATTAAGTACATGTGGCCTGTGACATAAAATGAGGAACAACAGATGAGAGAATACAACTAATTGGTTATTCCCCACCCGCCTCAACACATTAGAAAAGGAAGCAATGTCATTGAATGTATTTCTCCTAACCAAGACTGATCAGGTGGAAAGAACCAAGAAGGGCATTGTAGGCATTGGATATACTGCACCTCACCTTACCATCCTTCCTTCTTAAATCACATCTTTTGCATCATCACTCTTCATGTCAGAGCAGAGTAATCCATGCTGTATTGTGTTACAATAGTTAGAGATCTGAACCTTTTCTCTTTAGTCAGTGGTCGTTGCTATCCATTTATTTACCATACAACATTATTTATCTCCTGGGTTTCATTCAGCTATACATATCTTTGCAAACTACTGTCCTTCGGTACCTCATTAATATAGTTTTGTATTATTATAATGATTGTAAATTTTCATGTGGTGGAATTATTAATTAGAATAATAAGCCTCCTGTGTGCCTTTCTAAAAGTCACACTATTACTTTACAAATAATTCAATGTGCACCGAATATAAAAGTGCATAATTAATGAAGAAGGCAATCTCTCTTAGGACATAGAGCCTGTTTTGTGGCCACTAATCTTACAAAAAAATAATAATAATGCCTGAAGCCATTTTTCTTAATGCAGTGTTGCTAAATGCAAAACAAAAACAAAAAAACAGGAAGATATTGAACAGAATGCTGTTGACGTCAGTAAAGTTTCCTTGAATAACTTCCTGTTATTAAAGCAAAGAAAGGAAAAGACAAAAGAGCCAGCCAAAATCACTGAGATGTGCAGCTTTAGAAAATTTTGAATAAATAATTTTTTTTGCCATAAAATGGAGTGAAAAGTGATCAGATTTACACATGACGTCAAGCATATTGCTTGCTTAATCATGATTTGTTCAATAGACAAAAATTGATGGTCTCACAAAAACACAAAGCTATAAGCTAATATAAACACTTATAGGCTATAGGAGCCCTAGTGGCACAATGGTTAAAGTGCAATATTGCAGGCAAACTCTGCCCACAGTCTGGAGTTCAATCCTGAAATTGACTCAGACTTCCATCCTTCCAATGTCAATAAAATAAGGACTCAGATTATTGAAAGCAAAATGCTAATGTTGTAAACCAAAGTACTGTAAAGCACTAGGGGGCAGTATATAAGCCTAAATACAATTGCTAATGTACCAACAATAGTAGATTTGCATTCTATTTTAAACCACACCAAACCAGGATGGCTTAGTGTATTGAAAGAACAGCATTGTTGTCTCTATGTCACATGAAAGATATTACCCTGTGCCACTGCAAACTTATTTTTAACTTTTTCTCCATTAAAGAGTTTGACTGTGGAACACAGTAGGTTAAGATTGCTTCAGAAGTCCATAATTAAGATTTTGGGTTCTGGACACAATTCCAAGGTTTTGTTTTGTTTTGTTTTGTTTGAATGCTAAAGAACTGACGCTTACTTCCAGCTATGGTGACCCAGTGGCTTAATGATACTGGATCTGCTGGCCAGAAATAGTCTGCATTCCAGAAGTTTGAGCCCAGCTCTGTGAGACAAGGTGAACTCACACTACTCACTCTCATATTCCTCCCCACCCTGAAGTTCAAAAGCATGCAATATTGAAAGTAGATTGATGGATAGCACTTTGGTGCTATCCTAGCTTCATTCATGTGTGAAGAGAGTGGAAGCTGGTGCTAGACCTGGATGAACATGAAGCAACACATGAAGTGAGGCAAAACTGGCAGAGGATCCTGAAAGAGCCAGCAAGCTGACCACCGCTAGTCATCTGGTGTAAGCTAGTTTTCCCCTGGCAGTGCACCAAAAATAGGCATGCAAGTGCTGAACAGGATGACCTAGCAGATTAGGCTGTCAAAACTGCATTGTATCTTGCATTTTCAGATTTCCTTGAGATTGTTCGCCATGTGCTAAATAATAAGAACTGACACATTGATAGGAAATATACAGTTAGGCTAAACAGCATTAGATATCAGCAATGAATGTATTCTGGAGGAAATAAACCCTTCCATTCTCCTACAGAAAAAAGGGAGATTGCCGATATTTGCTGTGGTTGATTTAAAACTACCATCAACAATTCAAAATGTTTCTAGATACACAGTACTTAGGACTAGCAATAGCACTTAGACTTAAATACCACTTCACACTGTTTTATAGCCCTCTCTAGGTGGTTTAGAGTCAGCATATTGTTCCAACAATCTGGGTCCTCCTTTTACTGACCTCAGAAGGATGGAAGGCTGAGTCAGCCTTGAGCCTGGTGAGATTCAAACTTCCAAATTGCAAGCAGCCGGCAGTCAGCAGAATTAGCCTGCGGTAGTCCATTCTAACCACTGTGCCACCATAATTCAGTTAAGATATTGTAGAATTCTTTTATTTCAAATATTTTTGTGGAAAAATAATAGAAAAACAGAAAACACAAAAGGGAAAACACAAAAGCCATAAATTTTCTATAGTACCTAAGTAGAAGATAATGTCTTTTGTTATGTGTAAGTATTTTATTATGTGTAAGTATTGACAAAGAATGTTCCTCTGTCCATAAAATGGTAAGTTCTTTGAGTGTCGGAACAATTCAGCAGTCATAATAATAACTGAATAGGGGAAAATAGAGCTGTTTTTAATGCAGTACTGTCCCCAATGAACCATAAAGTGTTGCTTTAAAAAAACAAATACTGGAATAATTTTGTATTAATATAATTCTTTTATTGTTGTCTTACATCAGGTCCAGCACGGAAAATTCACATTTTAATCCATTCTAATATTTCTAGCTATGGTGAACATTTTTAAAACAAATGTTCTTAGTAAATATCAGTATGAAAAATGTGATATATTATACATTTAAAATATAGAAAATACCATATCAACTCCATTTGCAAAAGCAGAAGATAAACACTATTTCACAACAGTTTTAAAACAGTTGCCTACAAAACTGTTGTTATAGTATCAGATAACTTTTGTTATGTATGTGTACACATACATCCATAACAATTCCATTTAAAGTTTTCATCAAGTATCAGGTTAAAACTGATGCCCCAATTTAACTTTTGCAAGTTTTCCAGTAAAACTTTTTTTTAAACCATTTTGGCAAGAAAAAAAAATGTTCATTCAATCTATGAAGAACTTGGATGTTTGTCTAACAGTGCAGATTCTTCTAGCTGAAGATCACAAATTTGGATTCTCTTCTGTTGGAACAACTTCTAAGATTATTTGCAATGTTGATGTCATCTTGTCTGTGAAAGAACAATATATGAGAGTCTGTTCATGTTTACTCAGATGTAAGTTCAAATACTTTTTTTTCTCCAGAACATTTGTAATAGGATTATATACAGAGAAAGAGATACTAGAGACATAGAATTCAAATGAAGCAACTGACTGTTTGATTCAAATCCAAAGTGAGTGTTGCACAAAATGTATATAAAATCAGTCTGGGGATTCTTTTCTTTTTAGAATTTGAATCTTATTAAACTTTTTAAGAAGATAGCCTTTACAAAGTAATACAAAAAAAAATTAAAAAATAATCTCACAAATTCTCAACAGTACATTAGAAGTATTGCAATTATAATTACATATTCCCATTACATTTATTTCATGTATAGTGTCTTTGGGACAGTTGCTTTCTCTCATTCTAAATTAGCACATAGGATTGTTTTAGGGGAAAAAATGTATTGTCCCTACATACTCTTTGGCATTCCTTACAGGAAAAGTAAGGTGTAAATGTAAACAAATAAAAAAAAGCTATTATTGGAACTTTAGGGCAGAACTTCCTACTCTACCTACTCTAACAGAAGCTGCCTTCTGTTTCCTAAAATGTGAAAAATCATTAAATCCCTAAAATGCAAAAAACCATTAAACATCCATGATGTTTCAATATATTTTGTTTCCATCGTGTTCATTTGGCACCCTTGAAAAGTATTGGTTTTAAAATTGAAATAAATTGATTTATATTGCAATTTTTCATCTGTGAATGTCCCACTAAACTAGTTCATATGCTCTCTTCCTTACTTAAAAACATTTAATTATTCCTGAAAACTATATTTAGAAAAATGCGGAAACCTTTTTGATCAAATTAAGTTAGCATCCAGAAGGAATTGATGACTATCCATATTTAAGTAACATATCTTAAGATTAAAACCACTGATGCCTTAAGAAGGAACAAAGGTCTATGGTACACCTTTATATAGGATTATTGATATATATGAAAAATATACATATATTGTGGTCTCCTTAACAAAATGATTACTATTAGAGTGCCAAAGACGATGTCCATGAGATGGAAGCATAGCATTCTAATACAAACTATTTAATATACCGAATTTAAACTGGATTTTCAGAGTCTGTTTCATTTATGGTATTTATATTTTCTCCTGCCAGGAAACAATAATAGTCGCAGAGTTCAAAAAAAATCACTGCATTCTGCAAGAGCAGAAATCTCAAAAATATTATGCTTTTTATTTAAATGTAATGGATCAACACTGGCATCCTGTGGCCATACTGATTTATGAAACTACAACTCAACAGCTTGCGAAATTGTAACTATCTGATGAAAGAATAAAATACAAAGTCTCTTTTGACGCAGAAAGAAATAACTACAGAATCCTATAGACATAAGATTAGATAAGTAACGATGATTTCCAATACACAAGTTTTGTTTTATATTTCTTATGTTTATATCAATTCTTTGAAGAAAACAATACTTGCAAAGGCATATACAGTAAATAGATAAATAAAGCTATGAGATATTTTGACTATCATACAGTGATTTATTTATTGCAGGTATTGAAAATATTAAAAAGATGCAACTTTAGACATTATATATTTATATATAATAACTTTATGCATTGATATACTTTAGTAAGCATCTTTTAATTACTATTTTTGGATATATAGTAAATATTCTATTTCACATTCTTGAAAAGTAGCCTGTTAGCCTGTATACCTCACCCCACCCACCCCCACACACATACATATATGCAAAAACATCATTACACCAATTGTAGATTTCTCTTTCTGCAGAAGCAGCAACAACTGTGAGTGTTAAAGCATAGCTAATTAAAATTAACTGCAGTTACAATAAGGGATTTCTTTTTAGAAGAATCACAGGTACTGGGTGTTGCGTTCGAAAAAGACTGAGCTGAAGTCTTCACTCCGGTCCGTGTTTCCAGCGGGAACACGGACCGTTCCTATTGGCTGATGCCGTTTGACAGCTGGCTACAAAAGGGAACTGTCAAATGGCATCAGCTGTTGTCCGCCAGCTGGCTGCCTTGTTAGCGCGGCAGCTGCCGCAACCCTTTATTGTTACAATAAAGTAAAAGGTGAAGTTCTCTCCGTGTTCGCCTCAGGTTATTCTGCCGCTCCACAACACTGGGGGTTTTGTTAGACTGCAATACATAGGAAGGAATGATATTGATTATACATTCCTACCCATTATAACTCAGACATTGTCCCCCAGACCAAAATTAGCCTTGTGGTATAAAAGATTCCTACTAGTCTCAGCTGAAAATGTTTCCTAAAATGAATTGAAATGCTGGAGGCTGAGATTTTTCAAATGAATTTCTATTCAAAAGATAGATCTTTTCAGCATCCTCTTCTGTGCAGAAGTGCAAATTAAAGGATCCCTGACAGAAAACTACCTGGTTTCTGCCTGAGCACAGGTAAAAGGAATGTACCTTTCTTGGAAACTGGCTGCATAGTACTGACACGCTGTTCCTAAAAAAATCTTTCTAATGTTCATGTTAAGTTCTGGGCAAAGAATGGAAGCTAGGCCACAGTGATTTCTAACAGCTCTTTATTCAATACTGTCTGTGAGGCAACTGTAACTCCCTGGCTGACAGAGCTCCTTTTATAGGAAACTGATCAGCCAAGCAATCAATCAGGAGAAAGTATTTTCCCTCTCCAAAAGAGGACCAGACTGAGAACTTCAACTGAAACTATGTATACTAGTATATACAAGATATAACAGTTCAACTAGGATCTGTGCTCATCAACTTTAACATAATGCCATATCCTGCACCAAAGAGGTTTTGAAGTAAGAGTAGAGAGTAAGTTTCGAACTAACCAAAATGTACCTGCTAAGTCTCAATTATGACAAAAGTGTCCTGTGCTGATTTCTGGGGTCAGTAAGATATATAAACCACAGAGATATATACTAAAAGAGTCTCCCACCCAGGTGGTATTATCATGAAACTAAGAGTCCAGAAAAATGAGTGTGTACTTATAGATTATCTATATCTTTCCTGTCAGATTTTGGCAACCAAGGTCATTATTGTTTATAAAACTGGTGCACTGCATAAAATCACATTGGACCAGGGGTGGTATTCTACCACGTTGCACCTATTCGTTAGAACCGGTTGTTAACATTCTAAGCAGTTCGGAGAACTGGTTGTTAGAAGAAATTACTGGCCTAATCCTGTAAGGAAGGCAGGAAGGAAACATTCTGGTGTTGCTTACAGAAACTGCCTCTCCATTAACCCTTATTACATTCTTGGCAGGACTAGACTTCTCTGGAGTTTTTTTCCCCTACTTTGCTGGTACTTTGCTTGTATGAAGTGACCATTCAAAGTTACAATGGCACTGAAAAAAGTGACTTATGACCATTTTTCACACTTACAACTGTTTCAGCATCCCCACAGTTGTAGAGGCCAGACAAGCAGATGTGTGCCTCAGTGTGAGTGATATTAAGTTGGCCACGCCCAGACAATAACATGACCACCAAGCTATGCCCACCAACTAAGCCACACCCACAGAACTGGTTGTTTAAAAATTTGAATCCCACCCCTCCCAATAGTGGGCTTTGAACTCCATGAGATCTGATACTAACTATAATGGCTATCTGCACCTGATGGATCCCATTAAGGCTGAAGTCATTTGTAGATTGGTTCTGGTGGCCAATAATACATAAAAAAACTGATATTAATTCAAAAATCAATTATATGATTAACAGGCAGAAAAAGAATTGTGACATAGATGAAATAAAGTCATAAATGTGAGTAAATGTCTACTGGTTTCTTCTCTACAATTCAAATAAAATTATTATAATCTCTAATATACTTGGAAGAAGACATATTTGAGAAAGTACAGGAGAAAATATCCCATTGCATGCTTACAGAAACATATACCTTCCAAATGTGTGTGTAATCAATGATCAATTATCAATGAATCTCTTTTCTCAACAAATTTTAAGAATTACCAGCCAGCATTCATACTTCATTTGATAGACACACATGAAAATGGTTTTATGGTCCTAGGACAGACAACTAGAGACCCTTTTTCTAAATATATATTTTTATTAAGTTTCTTATGTTACATCGTAAAACATGTTATCAACAACGTTCTTGACATCTATACAGGTTTTTGGTTTAAATACTGTATAATACATTATATTACATTTGTCTACTACTAATAGCTTTAACTACAATTACTATTATTATATCTTTATATCATTGACAACATTTTGTTTTACTTTCTTAAGGGTTATTTCAATTAAAATTTTGGTCTCACTTCTTAGTTCTGTTTGTTAGCCATTTATACCAATTATTCCAAATTGAAAAGAATTCAGAGTCATCTTTTTCTTTCAATTTCATTGTTAGCATATTCACCTCAGCACTTTCTGTTACTTTGTGTATTATTAGTTCCTTATTAGGGGTATTTGGTGTTTTCCATACCTGCACAAGGGCTATTCTGATGGCTGTTGTAATATGTAACAGTAAGTATTTTACTTCTTTCGGTAATCTTTCTTTGATTATTCCCAAAAGGAAGGTTTCCCGTCTGAGCTCAATCTGGTACCCAGTGATCTCTTGTAATCAATTTTTAATTTGAATCTAGTAAGTCCTGGTCTTGGGGCACATCCACCATATACGATAAAATGTACCATCAACTTTTTTACATTTCCAACATTTGGGACTAATGTTTGGATATATTTTTGCCAATCTCGTTGGAGCTAAATACCATCTATAAAACATTTTATACATATTTTCGTTGTATGCTGCAGATACCATTAACTTATAATTTATGTTCCACATTTTCTCCCATTCCTCTAATTCTATAGTGTATCCAAAATTCTGTGCCCATGCAATCATTGTGCTTTTGACTATTTCCTCTTCCATTTTGAAATCTAATAAATATTTGTATAGTTTCGTTATAAGTTTTTGTTCCATTTGTCCATTAATATTTTATCTAATCAGCTCTGCCCTTTGTCAAATCCAAAATCTTTTAAATATTTTTTATATTTATT